AAGCAACTCTGACCTAGTTAAAGATTTGAATTAAATAAAAGAAATGTAGATTTATAAGCCACAGCATTAGCATTACAAAGTAAGAACTGGAAGGGGTCTCAGTAAACAACCAGCCTAACTTCTTTGTTTTACAGAAGCAGCAGCTTCAGTCCATAGGCTTAAGTGATTCAACCAAAGTCAGATAAATAAGTAGCAGAGCTGGCATTCAACCCAGATCTTAGGACTCAAGTTCAATAGTGCTTTCTCGGGTGTTCCTGTTAGATACGTAAAGAAACTTTGGCAATTCACAAAGTGGTTTCATTTAGAGGCTCTGATGGTCTACTTCAATAAATACAATTCATGGTTACTGGTAGCCAACTGTAAGTACAGCATATCAAATCAAACCTGATCAAAAATCAAGTCCTTCAGTAAGTGCGCAGCAATACAGGGAATGTAGAAGCATAAGACACATTCTTGATACCAAATTAGTTCAAACCCACTTGAGAAGATCAAGCTACCACCTGAAGTAGAATCAATGTCATGATGGTGGATATGTGGCTGAAATTACAGATGCTTCTCGACTTACTATGGGGTTATATCCCAATAAACCCATAAGTTGAAAATATGTCTAAAATGCATTTAATTCATCCAATTTACTGAACATCATAGCTTAGCCTAGCCTACCTTAATTGTTCTCAGGATATTTACATTAGCCTACAACTGATCAAAATCATATCCAAAGAATGCTGGCAATACAGCACAAGTAGAGTATTTCTTGTGCACCCCGGTGATCACATGGCTGGCTGGGAGCTGCAGATCACTGCCACTGCCAGCATCTCATGAGAGTATCATACAGTATATTGCTAGCTCAGGAAAAATATCAAAATTCAAAATTCGGGGCCAGCCTCGTGGTGCACTCGGGAGAGTGCGGCACTTGGGTGCACAGCGGTGCTCCCGCCATGGGTTCAGATCCTATATAGGGATGGCTGGTGCGCTCACTGGCTGAGTGTGGTGCGGGCGACACCAAGCCGGGGGTTGCGATCCCCTTACCGGTCACACACACACACACACACACACACACACACACACACAAAGACAAAATTCGAAGTACAGCTTCTACTGAATGCATATCACTTTCACACCATCACAAAGTTGAAAAATCTTAAGTCAAACCAATGGAAGTCAGGGACTGTCTGTATTAGTGTTAAAAGATTTCAAAAAGGGTCCATGATGGCTAGATACTAAAGTAAATGGGGGGAGAGTTCCATTTCCAACCTTGGGAGAATAACAACAGGAACTGACAGTCCTCCCACTGTAAACAAATGTTTCAGAGAGTAAACAACAGGTAGCTTAGGACTGTGATCCCTGAAAGAAGGGAAGTACGTGAGGTGAACCTTATGATCCTCAATTTCCATCTGGAGGCATTTACCAGATTCCAGTGCATGAAGGGGAAATACAGTGTATGAGGCAACTGAAATTCACAGTTCAGAGTACCTGAGAGAAGAGAGCTATGCAGAAAAAGAGGTCCAAAAATCTCGAAGAGGGTCTACTTGTATCTTTGGCTGTAAACTAAGCTACCTATTCATAGTGTGAGACCCCATGAGCCAGGCAAAGAAAAACCAGGAGAAAACAGTTAACAGGGACCAGTTAGCTGAACTATAAAAATTCTCACAGGGCTGGAATATGTTCAAGATCTGAAAAACTGTAGTGGAGAGAATTCATTCAACTTGTAGGGAATTCCTTGTCTTAAGAATAGGGCTAAACTAGAGCTAGACAATTCCCAAAGGAATCAGCCTGCCAGATTGAAAGGGAAAACAGAAAACACAAAATTGTATTTGGAGATTTTAACACTCCTCTCTCAGTAATTGATAGAATAGACAGACAGAAAATGAATAACTACAGAAGTCTTAAACATTATCAATCAACATGACCTAATAAACACCTGTAAAACATTACAGTCAATCACTGTGGAAGATTAAGTATTTTAAAGGGCACATTAACTAAACTAAATTAGGTCATAAAACAGGTCTAAATACATTTAAAATAAATGAAATGAAACAGAGCACATTTTTGACCACAACAGGATTAAGTTAAATATCAATGACAATAAGATATCTTAAAAGTGTTCAAATATCTGGAAATTTGTAACAGTTCTAATTAGCACAAAGGTCAAAAAAATTACAAAAGAAACTAGAAAACATTTTTAACTGAATGAAAACAAAAACATGAATATCAAAATATATGAGATATAACTAAATCAATGCTTAGAAGAAATTTTATTGTTAAATACTTTATTTTAAAACAAAAACCCATAATCAAAGATCTAAGCTTATACCTTAAGGAGCTAGAATAAAAATAAACTTAATCCCAAAATAGAAGAATAAATAATAAAGGTGCAAGCAGCAATTAACAAAATAGAAAACAAAGAAGCAATAGAAAAAAATCTAAGAAACAAAAAGTTGGTTCTTTGAAAAATAAATAATATTTATAAAACACTAACTAGACCAATAAAGAGAGAGAAAGCACAAACTGCCATATCAGGAATGTCTTACAGACATTAAAAATAATAAGGGAATATTTTAAACAATTTTATATCAATAAGTTAGACAACTCAGATAAAAGGGACAAATTCCTTAAAAGACACAAATTGCCAAAACTGACATAAAAACATTTTAAAAATTGGAATAACCCTATATCTGTTAAAGTTTCTCAGCCTCCAATCTACTCTTCCTGGATCTGGTTTATGATACTGGAGCTGGGTCCTGTAAACATTTCTCTTGTGCCAGAAGGCAGACTTCAGCTTTGTCAGTGGAGGTTACTGGAGGGACACTGAAGCTTACTTATCTTTCTTGTCCCAGCGTGCTTTTTCCTTCTTGCTCCTGTGGCAGGTGGTTGGTAGCAGCATTTGGGACACCCAGTGATGCATCCTTTTCAGTGAGAGCTTGGGAAAACCAGCAGCATTTGCCCTCCAGGGATTTTCACCAACACCCCTGCAGGTAGTTTCCTAGAAAGTTTCACCAGCACCACAAAGTGTAGCTTCCTAGTGAGTCTCAGCAGCCCACCAAGAGGCAGCTTCCCAGTGAATCTCAAACACACCCCAGAAGGCAGTTTCTCACTGTCCAGCCCCAGCATGCATCACCTCAGCAAACTTCTGTACCATCCCAGGGCCAGAGGTACACCACCTTCAATGAGATCTGAACCTCAGCCTTGTGAAGACCTCTTCCAAACTTGTTCCTTCCTTGGGTACTCTGCCCAGCCAAGGAAGGGGCTGGTCTCTGTATCTGCTATTCCTGCATTCTTCAGAATTCTCTTTAACCCTTGGTAGTTAATCTCCTGTTACTAGCTAATAATTCTTTCCATTAAATTTTTCCTGGTATAGATTCTATCTCCTGAATGGACCCCAAATAACACAACTGACGAATATTAAGATTTAGAAACCTCACAAACTCTTTCAGAAAATAAAGGAGGAGAGAACATTTCCCAAATGACTTTATGAGGCATCACCCTATTACCAAAACCAAAGACATTATGAGAAAATATGTAAAATGACCAATATTCTGCATAAGCATAGATACAAACACTCTGAGCCAAATATTGGCAAAATGAATCCACAGATGTACAAACAGGGTAATAAAGCCCATTTGATCATGACATATCTTAGGAATGCAAAGTTACTTTAATCTTTGAAAATCAAACAATGTGACAGACCACATTAACATAATAAAGGAGAAAAAGTATATAATTATCTCATTAGATATAGAAAAAGCATTTAACTATCCATATTAAGAAATCTCAGTGAACTGGAAATAGAAGGAAACTTTCCCTGGATATAGGGAATCTAAAAAAAAAAAAAATCTAGAACTAACATCACACTTAATGGTGAAAGACACTCTTCCTAAGATAAGGAACAAAGCAAGGACATACGCTCTTACCACTTCTCAACATTGTACTTGAAGTCCCAGCCAGTACAATAAGGCAAAAACAACATCAAAAATAAAGCAGACATATTGGAAAGGAAAAAGCTAAATTGTTTGTATTCACAGATGACGTAACTGTATACGTAAACAATTCTAAAGAAATTACCAAAAAAAAAAGTTAGAACTAATAAGTGAATTTAGCAAGGCAGCAGGATTGCAATCAATATACAAAAATCAACTATTTCTACATATGAGCAACAAATAACTGAAAAAGAAAATAAAACACCATTTACAAAAACATCAAAAACATAAAATATTTAAGGATAAATTCAATCAAATATGTTCAAGATTTGCACACTTAAAACTACAGAAATTGCTAAGAGAAACTACAGAAGCCTAAATACATCAAAAGATGTAACTGTTCATGGATTAAAGGGCCCATATTATTCAGATATCAGTTCTCCACAAAGTGGTCTGTAATATAATGCAATCACAGTAAAAATTTCACAGGCTCTTTAGAGAAATAAAGAAAATAATTTTCAAAACTTGTATATGGAATATATAAAGAGCTCTTACAATGCAATGAAAAGACAACACAATTTTTAAAATGTGCACAATATGTGAACAGGTATTTCATAAAACAAAATATATGGATGGCTAATAAGCCTATTAAAAGAAGCTCAACATCTTTAATCACCAGAGAAATACAACTAATTTACACCCACAATTTTAGGTTAAAATTAGAAGAAATGACAACATGAAGCATCGACAAGAATGTGGAGTATTGGAATTCTCAAAGATTATTGATGGGAGTGTAAAATCATACAATCAGTTTGGAAAACAGTTTGGTGATTTCTTATAAAATTAAACATTTATTTAACATGAGACAGCAATTTCACTCCTGAAATTCATTCCGACAAGAATGTGGAGTATTGGAATTCTCAAAGATTATTGATGGGAGTGTAAAATCATACAATCAGTTTGGAAAACAGTTTGGTGGTTTCTTATAAAATTAAACATTTATTTAACATGAGACAGCAATTTCACTCCTGAAATTCATTCTTCTTCATCCAGAAAGAATAAAAACATATGTCCACACAAAGATATGTATGTAAATGCTGATGGCAGTTTTATTTGTAATATTGGAAACCGGGGGGGTAAAAATAAATTACAGTATATCCATCCATACATGTAATACTCTTCAGAAATAAGAAGCAGCAAACCACTGACACACACAACAACATGGACATCTCAAAAGCATTACATTGACTAAAAGACACCATTCACAACAGTATATAGTATATGACGTCACTTTTATGTTTTGGAACAACAACGAGAAAAATCTATAGCAATAAAAATCATATCAATGGTTGCCTGAGATTGGGAGTGAGGGGAATTGACTGCACAGGTGGACAAGAGAACTTTCTGGGTGATAGAAATATTCAATAGCTTGACTGGAGTGTTGGTTACATGAGTGTATCCATTTATTAAAACTCACTGAACCGTACACTTAAAATGGGAACATTTACATAAATTATATCTCTATAATGTTAATTTTAAAAAATATTCAGCAATCTGAACTGGAAATCGCTTAGACTTAGTCTTAATTCTAAAATGTTCTCTGTAATCCGATTTATTCTAGTAATTAGCTTCTTATCTTAAAAAGTAATACAAAACTTCATTGTAGCTTAGCCTACATTAGATCATTACAAATTCCTAAATAATAGAATTAGTTCAATGAATAATTATTTTCTTATAAAGAATTCCAGATTTTACTTTACCCACATGAATATCTGATTTGCCTCTAAGAGCTACATTAATGTTTAGATGTTAATTATGAGACATAAGAATTGTGCTCACCCATATTTAAGTATAAACACATTTGGATTTTTAAAAAAAATAAGTGCATCTAACCATACAGAACATTAGGAGAGGATCCAATTCTGTGAGCTGGCAAAAGTCTAAGTGTTCTCCTCCTTCCACAAATAAGGAGACAAAGGCATTCATTAGCTGTTTTAGTCTGTCACTAGACTGCAAAAAGGCACAGTGAAATGAGACACGGCAAATCGCTACAACTTTGTCTCTAGACCCACTTACAGCATTGGCTACATCAGGTTTTATTCCTTCTTCCAGCCACCTGGAAAACGTTCACAGAGAGTTTATTACAAGGGTCATAAGACTAAAAGTTGGAATCAAAAGATATTACAGAATGCAAATAACCCAGTTAATCTGCTAATATTTATTACTGCAGAAACAAATTTAGAGGTAGTTTATTAATGAGACATTTTTCAAATCATCCCACTCATCATATCCTACAATTCAAAAGCATAATCTTAAAAAGGAAAAGAAAAAAAAAAACTTTTTAGAGTGTAAACATAACATGCTGAAGTGGTTTTCAAAAAGCAGCACTTCCAGTATTCTTCAGCTTCCCATTTTGGAAATGTTTTCTTATGATGAAGACATTGGCTCACTTGGACACAGCGTCAGCATTTATCAGTACATCTCGGTGCTGATCAAGTTATTACCATCTGTATGATCACTTGCAAATAAAATGAAGAGAACTACCTCAGTGTTAGCACCAAAGCTAACCTGAACCACCCAAACCACTTGCAAGAAGACGACCATTGTACAGCTTGAATTTTAGGGGACACACCACATAATATTAAAGATTCACCTGTTTTCCCCTGGAATTAGTTGCAATAAAATCTCCCACAGGTTCAAGCAAAAATATATTTTTCTCTGCATTTACTCTTCATTATTTTTAACTTCCAAAAGCTTATATATTGGTTCATCAAAATTGGTCCATCAAAACAAGAATTGGCTCTGAACCAAAACCAAAAAGAAAGAAAATCTAAAGCATGCTATGATGCCCTGTCAGTATTAGTATGTGGCTTCCACATGAAAGTTGTCAAACTGTGCAAATTCAAAGGAGTGAGTCCCAATCGCGGCCCAGCCATTCTTCGGGGAATTTACAGGGATGTCTGTCCACAGAGGCTTGTTATTCAGCATGCCAGAGGAAAAACGACCCTGGAGTAGAAAGAAACGCATCTCTTGAAAACATATGGAAATGATCCTCTGAAGTCTGTTTCTTAATAATGTATTGTCCATTAGTGGAGCAAATATCTTCTCACTCAAGACTTACCACAGCAAAACACTATTCCACAAGTTTAAGCAAAATTGTGAAATACAGGAAAAATTTTCTGGGAGGAAATTCTTACCTACCTATTTAAATAGTTTCCAAGGTACAAGAAATATTTCGAAATTTTCTTGTACTCCAAAAAAATGTAAAGCCAACAAAAATGCAAAACTTTTCATAACATTATTATAAAGTTTTAGACAAAAGCCCACTAAAATAAAAAACATTTGTTATTTGCAGTAGTCGCATGTGTAGGTGTTGTGACTAACCACCACCAGCTCTTCAGACATGACTATGCTGGAGCCAAAACACCTGCCTCTACCTCATTGCTTATTTAAGGTCTTCATTAAAGACCCTTTGCCCAGCCAGAAGACCAAAACACCTGCCTCTACCTCATTGCTTATTTAAGGTCTTCATTAAAGACCCTTTGCCCAGCCAGACGAGGAGTAATTAACCTTAGTTTTAGTGTTTTGTTCCCATGTACAGAATATCTCTTCAAAGTCATATGAAGCTTCTACCCTTAATTTAGAAAAATAGTAAACTGATGATGGGGCAGAGGTGGAAGAAGAAGCAACCATAAGGTATGACTTACTGGTCACTGACAGAAAAAGAAAAAATTATATCCCCCCAGAAGGTCTCCATGAGCTTACCATTCTATTTAGCTCAATGCCTAGCACACGGTGAACAATAAATGTCACCCTTATTATCATTATTATAGCACATTTATGTATATATTCATAGCATAGCAATTACAGCTAAACATTTAAAACTAGCTAGTCTCAAAAGGTGAACAGCTTAAGATTCAAAGCACTAGGCCAAGAACCAAAATAAATCCGTACTTAAGTCTTAAAATTATAATGCAATGGGCCTTAGTTTGGTTCTTTTATTTTATGGATGGAGACACTGAGACTTAATGAGATTAAAACTCAAAGTCACAGATTTACCAGCAGAACTAGGACTTGAATCCAGGTCACCCAACACCAAATTTGAAGGCACAGTGCTATAACTATATACCTGCCCAGCTACCTTCAGCTCTAGAAGTGCTTACTGAACATCTTCAGCCACTTAAGAGACAGTGAAAATTAACACTGAGCCACGGGGCCCACATACACAAATCATATTAAGCACAAACCTGTCTAACGATACCTCATCTCCTCCTGCTCCCCCCATGCTCCCAGGTTTCAGCCGCCCCGGCCTCCTGGCTGCTCCTAACGCACAGCCAGCCCTGCCTGCCTTCTGCTCCAGCTGTTCTTCCCAGCAGTCAGGTCTAAGCTGAGATATCACAACTCGGCAAGGTTTTCCCTGGCCTCACTAGCTACAGAATCAGGGTATGGGAGCTACTTTGTCGCATCACTCCAGCTTTTCTTCTTATTTATTCATTTATTTACAAGTTTACTGTTTTAGAACAGGGGTCAGCAAACTATGACTCACAGGCAAGCCACCTATTTTTGTCAAGTAAAATGTTATTGGGACACAGCCAAACCCATTCATTTACCTACTGTCTATGGTTGCTTTCTTACTACAACAGCAGAGTTGAGTAGTTGCAAGAGAGACCATATTGCCCACAAAGCCTAAAATATTTACTATCCAGCCCTTTACAGAAAGATTCTGCCAACCCCTATCCTAGAAGAATATATGCTCTAAGAAAGCAAGAATCTTATCTGTCTTGTCCACTGCTATATCCCTATCATTTAGAAAAGTACACATGGTAAGTGCTTAACAAAAATGTGTTGAATAAAAGAATGAAACACACTTAACATCTGTGAGGTTGTTTTGAGGGTTATCTCCATTACAGATTAGGAAACAGAAGCTCAAAGAGGTAAAACAACTTGCTGCAAGTCTCAGTATGTGTGAGCAAGGAAATATGAATGTTGGTCTATTTGTTTCCAAACTCTCCTATTCCTAAGAATACTCATTTGATTCATTAAGTGCTTACAACATATCGGATACTGAACTAAACTTTCATACATATTATCTCATTTAACCTTCATAAGAAGGGTGGGTCTGCATGAGGCTATTGAGCAATATAAAATACTTGTAAGTGGAGTACAGTAGACTTCAAAGTCTATTGTTCTAACCACCATGCAACAGTGCTGGGGATAAGGCACTTGAAATGGCCAAGGTTAAAATGATAAAATCCTCATATTACCTGTAATTTGGAAGATGAACAACATAGAAGATGTTGTTTTGTTGTGTTTTTCTTTTACGTAGTAAATATTTATATGCCAAATGCTGTTTAATGCACTGAGAATTTAGGAAGAACAAGAAAGAGAAAGTCCCTGCTCTTATGGAGCTTACATTCTAGTAGACGGAGACAGACACACACCATAAATGAGACCTAAGGGATAAGTGGCATGTGAAGAATTAAAACACGTCGATGTGCTGGTGGGTGCCTGACAGACTAATGTAGGCTGGGTAGCTGGAGACAGACTCTCAGAGTATGTGTCATAAAGTTGAGCTGCAAGGCAGAAGCAGAATGCCCACAGTTGATGGAACAAGAAACAATGGGGCCAGGGGTGGAGTGGGTGTAAGTTAGCAAAATTCCTATGTACCCAACTAGCAAGACAGGAACTATTTTCTAAAAGTAATAAATCACATTATATTAAAGACATAACAGAAAAAGAGCAAAAATAGTTAAAGAGTGGCTGTAGCAGAGGTACAGAACACAAAATGGAGGTGAGGAGGAAGAAACAGGAGGTAGCTGTTTTCAATAAGTCCTCGATTTTTTTTAACCATTTATGCAAAGTACCTGAAAAAATTAAGAAAATTTTTAAAATCCCATTCACAATTTCAAAAAATTCATAAATTACTAAAAACAAGCCTAACTAGAAATGTGCAACAACTACAAAAACAAAAGTGAAGGACATAGTAAGAGATCTTAATAAATGGTGAGATACAGCACACTCTTGTTCCCATGTTCTTGCATGGGGAAATGTTATTGTAATTTTTTTTAAAAATGTTATTTTCCCTGAAATTGACGGATAATTCAACGCAATACTGCAGCATTTTCCATGGAATTGAAAAGCTATTTTAAAAATTCAAATAGAAGAGCAAATATACTAGAATAGCAAAGATAATTCTGAAAAAGAAGTAACAAATTGACCCACTGAGCTCTTCCCCTGACTGTGCCAGGCACTAGGTGCTGCAGAGCCAGTAGTGAATAAAATGGAGAGAGGCCTGTCATTAAAAGAGCTATGTTCTACTGAAGGGACTGTAATAAACAGATAAGCAATCAACAGAATATGTTTGATGTCAAATGGTGATAAAAACTTTGGAGAAAAATAAAGCAACAGAGGGGGACCGAGAGTGAGATGGGTGCTATTTTATATCAGGTGGTAAGGAAAGAACTCTAAAGGAAGAAAGTGAGTAAACCATATAATCAAAGATTTTTGAAAGCTAACACAATTTCAAGTGTGATACTGGACAACAATAGACAAAAACAATACAAAGAACAAAGAAAAGTTCAGAAACAACGCTATGCACATGTGCTGACTTTTTATATCAAAAAGGTGGTCTTTAAATTATGGGCAAAAGGACAGTTTGTGTAATAAATCATAATACCTATCCATTTGTGTGTGTGTGTTTTTTTTTAATTATATTGGGCACTTCTCAGTGCCCAGATGGATTAAATTCCAGATGGATTAAAGACTTAAACATAAAAAAAAAAAATCCTAAGCTTTATTTAGTTTGGGGAAAAAAATGTTCCTAACCTTAAGGAAGGGGAAGGCTTTCTCAAATAAAACACGAAACATAAAAGCAATGAAAAAGGTGAAATTTTTGGCAGTATCAAGATTTAAAACTTCTATTCATCAAAAATTCCTTAAGTAAAATTAAAATACACATGACAAAAGAGAAGAAAATATTTTTGATATATGAGTATGTAATAAACATTAGGTTAATATCCAGAATACATAATTCATACAAATCCATCAGAAAAAGACAACACAATAAAAAAAATGAGGAAAGAATATGAACGGACAACTTCAAAGAAGAGAAAATATGAGGGTATGGAAAGATTTGTATTATCTTTTAATTCTAGTTTTCCACAAACTTGTTGAATTACCCTTGTACAAACAGCCCAAAAACATAAGATGTGCAACCTCCCTAAATATCAAAGAAATGCAAATCATACCTATTAGCTTGAAAAAACTTTTAAAATCAATAATATCAAAGATGATTACAATTGCTATACAAATTGGTGCAGGTAGCTAGTAATATGGTTGTATCTGTTAAAATTTAAAATGCAATTCCTGTTCTAAATATCTGCTTAAACAACACCATATGTGCACCCCAGGAAGCACATTTAAGTTCCTTCTCCTCTCCATGTACAAGTAAAGCCAGCCCTTACTGCCTCGGTTCTCCATAAAAGGGAAGAACTGGGAAAAAAAAAAATCATGCCTATCAAGTGTGGTATGATTAAATGAACTATGTTACATCCGAACCAGATCTTCAGAACATATTGCTAATGCTGAAAAAATTAGTATTGTGATTTTTGGTGGCTGGATGGGAGGAGAGAACAAGTTCAAAAGTTATTTGAATCCCATTTTTAATTTCTACAGTGACCTAAACAAAATTATGAGATTACCTTGGGAGAGAGCAACATATTATGCAAAAGAATTTCTCTACGTGGCATTCCTTGAAAGCACTGTCAATCAGTAGTAACTCATGATCAACCAGTGATTTTGATGAATATTTTTAGATTTACACACTACAATTAATCTGGCATCTTCTCTGACAAAAATATTCATGAAAACCAACTTTTAAAAAACTGTGCTTTTAATTGAAAACCAAATTGTTCTTAACCATCAAAAATAAATTTATATGACTTTGCTTATACCTATAAGTTCCGATTATAGTCTTGGTTCAAGCAAACTTGAAAAAATAGTTCAATTATTAACTTTATCTACCAATTACTCCTCAGTTTAAAATCAGAAACAAATTTTTTTTAAAAATAGTAGTCTGATAAAGTCAGCTGCAGATGATTCTCATTAGAATCATATTATCACACATTATCATCCTAGAGAAGGGTGGTTTACTGGTTCCATGGCAGATTCACTGCCCCTTTCCATTATTTATCATACATTCTCCCTCCCATTTTATAACAGAAAATTCTAGAAAGGTACAATAAAGAAACATTTTACCTCCAGGCATTCTGATCAGCAATACTTACCTTAATAGATAATGTAAGTGTATACCACGTTTTTGCTGTAACTTCAACACGTCCTAAAGCATATATGATCCATCCAGCTGTAACACCAAAAGATTATCCTAAGTGATATATTTTTAAAATCTAAATCACAGAATCATATAACTCAGTGGGGGTTCTCAAGTGGCATTTGTATGTAGTAAAGTCAGGCTTAATAAAGAATTATGTCCCTTTACTTCTAGATCTACAACTGATTTAAAACAAAACAGCCTTCATTCCGCCATGCATTCTATAAGCATGTTGTATGATCCTACTCTGAGCCACAAACAGTATGTGAGCTCACAACAGAACTGGTGAAATAAACTTAAAAACCAACCATAGTATAATGTGTTAGCATCTATTGTTCAGGTATACAAGTGTACTTCAAAAAGTTCATGGAAAATACAGTTAAAAAATAATATGAATCTTTCCATGAACTTTTTAAGACCACTCATACATTGGATTGGAAACAGAAGATAAGAAGGAGCTGTCAAAGACTTGCACAAGATTTCTAGTTAGTGTAATTGCTTACATGGTGCTGCAGACTGGATGTTCCCCCTACCTCACTGAAGCTTAAATTCCCTCTATAACTGTTGACAGTGGGAAATCCGATTATGGTAATTAAAAGGTGGAGCCTTGAAGAAGTGATTAGGTTGTAGGACCATGCCATAGTGAATGGATTAATAATGGTGTTCAGTGTCATGGTACTGAGGGCTTTAAAAGGAGAGAGCATGAGGAGCTATCTCCTCTCTACTCCACCATCCTCTGCCATGTGATACCCTGCGTCACGGAAATCACCGCCAAAGAAAGTTCTCACCAGATGTGCTCCCTGGACTATGGACTTCCCAGCCTCTGAAACATAAGCAATAAATTTTGTTTTCTTGTATTTTGCTATAAGCAACAGAAACAGACTAACCCACATGGTAAGAGCTTTAACTTAGAATTAGAGGGAGATGGAATAAGTTAGTTTTTAGATTTACTGCATTTGAATGTCTGAGAGAAACTCAGGATGAGATGTTGAGTAGGCAGTTTAAAACACAAAACAGGGCCGGCCCGGTGGCGCACTGGATAAGTGCGCCGCTTGGGAAGTGCGGCGTCGCTCCCACCGAGGGTTCGGATCTCACATACAGACCGGTTCCCGCTCACTGGCTGAGCGAGGCGCGGGAGCAACACCAAGGGCTGCGATCCCGTTGCCGGTCCCGGTCCGGTACGGGGGCGACACTGAGGGTTGCGATCCGTTGCCCGACACGAAAAAAAAAGACAAAAAGGAAAAAAAAAAAAAAAAAACTGTTGGAATATATACAAAATATTCACAGAAGAATATGTAAGTGGTTATATTTTGAGAGCAAGATGCTAGGATTGAGGATGAGGGTGTGGGAGAAAACTAAGATTTACTTT